TTATGTTGAATTGTTTTCTCCCCCATAGGAAAGCAGATTTTGACAGGTCCATTGGTTCCTATGGGCCGAAAAAAAAAATCACCATAGATTAATGAAAAGTCAGATCAAAGCCAAATCCGGTTTGCACATGACTTAAGGGGTCCTCTAACGAATCCAAGCATTTAGAACCGTTTTTGACCCTTCTAAGACACTTTTTTAATTGAAAAAAGAAACATCGTTAAGTGAAGCAGGCGACCTAAAATCGCATTCGTTATGCGAAGCATGGTCCCAAACTTCGCTAAGCGAAAATCGCCCATAGGAAACATCGTTATACGGTGCATATTATTTTCTAAAAAAACACATCGTTATGCGAATTCATCGCTAAACGAGGCAATCGTTAAGCGAGGCACCACTGTATCTAGATTCTGATGATACCACTCTGAGCCTTCTTGAGTCAGGAGATCGAGACCGTGATATTTAGCCCCTTTTGGCATCAGTTCTGTCTTTGATAAATTTATAGATAGCTAGACAAATATCTCAAAATATTGGTTGTCTTCATTGCTGGAATAGAGGGCTGAGTTTCAGAAATAAACCGTAATATATCATTTTAGAATCCCATGTTTGTGGTTCTAAGAGTATTCTAAGAGACAGTAAAATAGCAAGCTCTACAGAATCAGATATGTATCACAGTTTTGCCAAATAGAGCAAGCCAGGGGTTCTAAGCTTGGATCACATATTCAAGAGAAATAAGACAAATTTATAGATGAGGGACTTGAAAAGCAGAAAGATCGACTTTACCTAAACCATCGTGGGACTTAAATTCACTGGTCCCTGCTGTTCCATTATAACATTGACATATAACATTGTTGTGAGCCAGTGGTATTACTTCATACCATGTAAAAATATATTTATTGATTTCTGTATATCAGAATTCTGTAAAAGGGCCAAATAGGTAAAGCTAGCCCTGGCCACCCTATCTATTTCTGAATAAAAAATGTGGTAACCTGGAAAGACATTGTCGGCATTCCACATTCTAGTCTATTCAAGGAGGATAGTGGGGCATCAATTTCCTGTCAAAGATGTTAGGTGTATAAAAGAGTCACGTGACCCTTCTGGCAAAGGCATAAAGTGTTGTTACAGTTAGACATCAAAGGGTAGGTGCTAGCAGCATATTTATTAGCAGTAAAGACTTTATGCTTCTATTCTTTCTAGAATAGGCTGGAAGAAATAAAACATCTGGATTTGAATATGATAGTGATACAAGGGAAGCCACTGGTGTTTCACTTAAAATATCACTTCATATGAACAATTTGTCATGTTACCAGTAGGTGGCAGCAAGATTTAGGTTAATCTATGTGCCATATTAGGTCTTCAAGAAAATGCTGGGTCTTCAAGTCACTTCATTCCGTAATAGTTTGCAAAAGAAATCACTTGGGAGTAGAAAACAAAAAATGGAATACAAAATGTGACTTACAATATGATTTAATTGTAAGCTGCCTAAAGGTGAAATCTTAACAGTATTTGATGTGTATAAGAGGTACATTAAATAATTTTGTGAGATAGGTGTTAGAATTTCTTTTTACCATTTAACCAGATTTCACCATATATTGCACTGGGATAAAACAATGCAAATTCCGACTCTGTTCCTCCTGGCAGGAGAGTACTTGTAGCTTCAGTTCTGTGCAGGGGGAATGCTTCCTGCAGCACAAAGGAAGCAACTGCTTTAATTTCTCCTGCAGCTACTTGTGCCTTTTGAAAATCCACTCCAGATGGATGGAGAGTGCATTCCCTTGGAACAGTGGGAGGCGGGTGGCACTGCTGCTGTCTTCCCTATAGACATTTATCTTCCACCAAAGATAAATGTATCTTTTACTTGATGTTTTTTATGTTTTCAGCCCAGGAATATTTGAGGTATAATGAATACATGGAATTTACGAATTAGGATGAAATGTTAGCATGGTTGCCCATTATTCTGTTTATGCCGAGTTGGCCTGAAAGAAGTGTAAGAAAGAAAACTACTGCAATGCTGTTCAACAAATGTTTGCATGTACATCTTGGCATTTGGTACCCAAATATGAGGCACAAAAAAGTTTAAGTGGGGTGTGGACTTAAACACATTTCTGAAGTAGATGCTAGTATTTTTATTTTGCTGACTAGATTACTCAGTGGTTTAGATATCTAGCTGTGGAGCCAGAGGTTGAGAGTTTAATTCCCTGCTATGCCTCCTGCGAATAGAGCTAACCTGTGTGACTCTGGGCAAGCTACACAGTCCCAGAATGCCCCCAGAAGAAGGAAATGGTAAACCACTTCTGAGTGTTTTTTTTAACTTAGAAAACCTGCTGTAAGTCCGAATTAACTGATGGTACATGATTATTATTTTTACTTTGAAATAATTGTATGTATTTTTATTTTAAAAGAGATATTTTTTTTGAAAGGATGTTGGATGGTAGTAAAGGGTAATGGAGGAGATAAAGGGTTTCTCAAAATCAAAACAGTTTTCATACTGAAAAGTTCAGAAATTGCAACATTAGCTAATAAAATACTGCATTGCTTTGCTAGAATTCCCTAGCATTTATTTGCTTTTGTCTATTAAAAAGATTGCACAATCACTGGACTTAATTTTGTGTGTGTGTGTGTGTTTGTGTGTGTGTCAAAGCAGTAAAGAATTAATTTCAAACAACTCTAACTAGAGGACACCTTCCATGTGCTAAACAGGTCTACCTTTTTATTTCTTCCTAATTTCCAGCAGTAGTCAGCTGTTCTTGACAATACCATGTTTGTGACAGTGTTACACTGCTGGAAGATAAAAGTACTGTCTACTTTAGCTGCTTGTCACTGTCTGTGTTTTGGAGGCAGCTGGCAACAGTGTGAGGCAGTGCTGTGCTTCTCTTGAGAGTGTGCTGAGCAGATAAAATCCTGCTGAGTGCTAGTCTGGAAGCATACATGCTTACTCAGTATGCAGTAAAATTTCTGTATTAAAGTGACTTTTAAGGAACAAGTTTGTCAGGTCGCAGTTTGTAATAATTGCCTACTGTCAAATCAGTTCTGATTTAGGGACACTTTTTTTATTTGAAGCATAAAAAGCTCAAGTGGTTTACTGTTTCTCTGCTGGGGTTACTCTGGGACTGTGTCTACAGGTAGGTTCTTGCCAGGAGGCATGGTGGGGAATTGAGCTCCCAGCCTCTGACTATAACTAGGTGCTCTGTTCATTGAGCTACCCAGCTAGCTGGCTAGAATTGTATAAGGTGAGCATTACTGTACTCTTCTTGTTAACTTCTTGTTCATTTAACTTCGTGGCCCGCACAGCCAGCATTGACAGTGTGCCAATTGTAGCAGTAGCACAGCTGGTGCTGCCCTGCCTCCCTGCTCAGATAGCCACTCAGTGGCCAAGTGGGGAGACTTGTCATCCTGTCCCTTGCCGGAGTGGCCATCAAAGCAGGGTGGTGGGGCAGCACCAGCTGGGGTACTGCTGCGATTGGCACGCTGTCAATGATGCTGGCTGTGCGGGCCATGAGGTTAAGTGGGACCAGCAGGTTACGGTGGTTGGTGTTAATTGGGCAGGCTGCCTATGCCAGTGAGATTGGGAGACGAAGACTAATCTCACATGTCTAATTAAAGTCTTACAGCAAACATGAGAATGGATGTCCATGTCTTCTGATCTTAGATCAAAGATAACAGGAATATTCTTCATGAAGCTGATACAGTGGCTAGCTAAGGAAAATGTGAGAGCTACCCTAAATATTTACTTTTTAAAAATTATCAGCAAATTAATTAGTTGATTGAAGAATAGGCCTTGTTAGGTTCCACCATTATGTCTAGCAGGATATTTCCTATACTGTAGGACTTGGTGCAGTTAAATTCTGATACAGTTCTGTACCTTTTGCACCCGCCCCTGCATTGTGGATCTCAAGATTCAAGTAAAAGGGAAGAATGTGCAGTAACTTGAAACTTGATTTACAGTGCCTTTTAGTCCTGCAGATTATGTTTTAGTAGTAGTAGTATACTTCAGCTTATCTATCTCATTACTTACAGGATTTTAAATATGGTGACAAAGCAAGGAGCATTATGGGCCAATACTCTTGGATCTGTAGGTGAGTAAATTTGTTTTGTCAATAAAATCCACATGAAGATTGTAGTTTAACCTTGTATTTGATTGTATGTAGGCTCATCCAAGAGCCAAGCCATTTCATTTTTGAAGTCCACTGCACTGCATTACAGCATGCAGGGTGGAGATCTGGTAGCTTAAAAGATTGCTTTTTTTTAATCACTAAGCCCTCAAACCTGTTCAGGATTTTTCTGCTGTCAGCAAAGACACCATAGATTATATTAATGGAAAATTGCCACTTGGACTCCAAGGTGACTAAGTTCGAGATTCCAGCACTGCGAGTGATACATTAACAGATGCTTTACAGCTGTGTTTGTTTTCTTGAGTAATAGTTCTTTTGCCGGGTCCACTTTCCTGACCTGTCTTTAGCAGCACGTCTGCAAATATTGATTTCAGTTCTTTGAAGAGTTTCTTTTTACCAGGAAGGATTATGCAGGAAAACAGTGTGGTGGTGGAGAGTGTCCAGTCTCTGAGAGGCCCGTTGAACTAAATTGCCACTCTTTCTTTACAGCATGAAAATAAGAAATGGTTTTATAGGATATTTAAGCCATTTCCTTCTCAAGTATTGCTTCAAAAACAGTTAGGCAAGTTATAGGAAACAGGCATCTGACCAAGCTAGCTATTTCAACATCTGTTCCTCTTCTGTTCAGTATTGTCAGCAGTTTAGTATTGTGATCTTGAACAATTCAGCAATATTACTGCTGCTTATCCATAAACTTAAGGCTATCTTCTCCCATTTATGCAACCATTATTTTTGTATATGCCATGGAATTTGAGGTCTGTCAGGGAGGTGGCTTGATATTAATATTTTTCTCTTAAGAATTCTTAGTGTAAAATTGTATGATATCTATACCTTAAGAACAGCACAACACATTCCATTCAAATAAGTCAACGGCTTTCGTTAAAGGATTGACTTCTCATTTTAGCTTCCTGAAATTCAAATTAGGTCCAGATAAAGTAGGAAGCTCATGGGTTACTGCATGTTACTCATTAGTCCCCCACTCATGAGGTAACATCTTAAAACTAGAAAACTACATTTTCCCTTTTCTGCAGACAGAACAAGCAAATGTTGGTAAAAGTAAAAAAGACATTTCTAAGTTCTTTTGAACAACATTCATTTACGTCCTCTGAAGGAGTTTTGCCTCCTTTTTGAAAATTTAAAGCTCTTTTTCATGTCTGTATAAGTGTTAGTTTATTGTAAAGTCACAAATTTTCAAATTCTCCATAACTCTTCATTAGGCAAAGAGGTATAAAATGGGGTGGAGAGGAGTTCAAGACAAATAGTCAAAACATTGGGCTAGATTTGATACCCATGGCTCTGAAACCAGACTGCCACCAAGGCCAAATAGAGTTTCTCAAACTATCGTTAGGTGCTTTCTCTAAAGACAGCCAAGTGTTGTTCCATGAATTAAATTGTAAAGTGGAAGGTTAGAAGGATTTGCAGGAGAAAGAAGTGTTGCTGTTTCCTCTGCTATTGAGGAAGTGCCTCAGTCCATATCAGAAGGCGCACTGGTGCTGTCAGACCTGCACATCAGCATGAGGTTTCTTTTTTAAAAAAACTTGAATTCCTCTATCCCACCTTCAACTATCCTGTTTGTGATGTCCTAAGTCAGTGGTTCCCAAACTTGAGTAACCCAAGTGTTTTGGGACTGCAGCACCCAGAAACTCCAGAGAGCAGAGTTGGTGGTGAAGGCTTCTGAGAATTACAGCCCCAGAACACCTGGGTTACCCAAATTTGGCCTACGTAATTGTTTTATTATAACAATCTAAATTCCTAGCAATTGCATTATCCATACCGCAAGATAAGTTAATCGAAAGAAATTTGTAGAAAGGAAGTTTCTTTTCCTCTTGCCCCTTCCACCACCACCACCACCCCAATAACCTCCAACATTTCCAGATGCCAGGGATTGGGCTTCTGAGCAACCTGAGTGGAACCCAACAGCTCCAAGGGTAGAATGAATTTAGGAAGCATACATAGATTTCTTTTAGTTACATCACTTTGGAATCAAAGTTCTCAGGCTAACCATTGATGTTTCATACTGTTGCACAACACCCGAGTTGTCAGCTGTTAAATTTGGCTCTTTTACAGTTAGTAGCAGTTATGGAAGAACTATTTGCAGTTAGGAATGTAGAAGTCTTTCATTTAAAAGCCTGCTGGAGTTTTTGTGAAAGTAAACACTGGAGAGAGTTCTGCACATTCCTGTACCTAGAACTAAAATATTTGTGCCTTTTATTAGATAATGGTTGTTTTAAATAAACATTGTTAGACAATAGGTTTGCAGATATAGTGTGGGATGTGCAGTGCTCTGTCTTTGCCTTATAAGTACTAGCGTTGAACTGCTGCTGTAGTTTTAAAAATTGGGGCGGGGGCGCAATTGTGATGCCTAGCATTCTAGGTAAACTTGTCCCTACTTTCAGTATTTAACCTGTGCCAGAAGACACATATGGCTGAAATCTGACCAACTTGCTAACCTCATTCAGCCTTGCAAAATAATTCAAAAAAGCTATTAGCCTGCCTGCCTTGATAGCCATGTCAGTCATTGGCCTGTAAGAAGCAAAGAAAGTGTTATGCATCTTTATTACTTGAAGTAGAACATTTGGAAGAAATTGTTATTCTCTATAGGCAATGAAATAATAATACCCTGTTTCCCCAAAATTAAGACCTAACCCGAAAATAAGCCCTAGTTAAGTGAAAACCCACCCTCCATCATTGTGCAGCCACCAGAAGATGACATGACTGTATTTGAATAAACGTAGATTGTTGTACATTGAAAAAATAAAACATCCCCTGAAAATAAGCCCTAATGCATTTTTGGAGCAAAAATTAATATAAGTTCCTATCTTATTTTCAGGGAAACATGGTAATAACCTTAGAACTGCATAGCTGGAAGGGACTTTATGGCTCATTGAGTGCAGCCCCTCTCAAGGCGCAGTGGGGACTCTAACTCCCAACCTCAGTAGGGTTGGGAGTTTGAGTTTAAGCCACTGAGCTATTCAGTTCCATCAGTAGCTTTTCTTCTCTAAGACTGATATAGTCAGAGGAGAGAAAAGGATATTGTAATTAGAATTTGAAGAGGGGGTGTTACTGGTCCAGTGTTGGATAATCTGTTTGGTTGGGTTGCATTTGTTTGACTGTAACTTTGAATTCCATTCCAGCATTGCTGTATAGTGCATTTGGAGTTGTTATAGAAAAAACACGTGGTGCAGAAGATGATCTGAATACAATTGCTGCTGGAACTATGACAGGCATGTTGTATAAAAGTACAGGTATGTTGTCAAAATAACCTTTATTTATCTTGGCCTTGAATAGAACATGGATGAAAAGTAGTACCTGGTTGGAAGTATTGACTACAGAGAGCTTTATTCCTACTCAGTGCTTTCTGTGGTTCTTTATATATTCACTTATATGATGGTATGCTGTTGTACTGTAGCAACTATACATACTGAGTATTTTTCAATTTTTCTAAGCAATTTGTATCTTTTGATTAATGGTGAAATAAATATAGACAAGTGTAAAAGTCGGTAACTGCAAGGAGAACATTTCCTAGAATAAAAATGGGACATAAAGCATCATATTTATCTGATACATATCATGAGATTCACAGGCACTTTGCTGTTGATTGATTAGGTTAGTGACATGTGCTATTTTTTCTTCAGGAAATACCAAAAGAAAGAAAAATTGAAATGAGAAAAATATTGAAAATACTGATTTCCTTATCTTCAGGTATCCTGTTGTAGCTGCAAGATACCAGAGTAATAAAGTTATGCTATACTACAGCCTGGACAAGCATGTGCACTTATAATGAAAATCCAAAATGTATCTGCAGTTCGTTCCTTAGATACTGCAGTAGCAATAAATCAAATGCATATATAGAGAGCAAATTAAACTTTAATTTTGAAGTGTTATAATATAGTTGGCTATGGTTATAACTGGAGAGCATCGTTAGTAATGATGTCTTAAGAAAAAAAAAGTCTCCAGCATGCTCTCAGAAGAAATCCGGGAAGTATTACACACATGCAGGTTTTAAGCCTCAGAATCCAACACAAAGATTTGTCCTTAAGTCTCTTAAATAGAATCAAAAATTGATGAGAGGACTTTGTGTTTAGAGAAAAAACTGGTGAGATAATCAAGCAGTTCAGCTCTAAACACTGAGTAAATGAAAACAGTAACAGTAAAGGAGCAGAAGAATCCAGAGCTTGTTTTCACTGCAGATTATAACACTTGGAAGGCAGTAAGTAGGAAGCGATTATAAAAGTCTGTCCATCTTGATTATTTAAGTCTGGCCATCTTGTACAGTCAAGTATTTTTCCCTTAATTTTTCTACCTAGTATAACTGCAATAGGCCACTCTCCAGATTTAGCCTAGTCAGGCATTGTCAAAAGCAGTAAAACAATTTGTTCTACTTGTTTGAAGATTAGTTGACCTGCCCCCCTCCTCTTAATTGATTTTAAATTATAGGTGTGTTTAACTTGGCCTCACAATAACATATGCCATTGCAATACTGGTATTATTGTACTAGAGACATACTCTTAGCTTAAATATTGCTGTAGCATCTGAAAACTAATTGGAATCAGTGATACATTAGTAAACTGATGCACCAGACATAGGACAATATCCTGTAACCTCTTGAATGCCAAAGGTTAGCAGTTTTTATAAAGAACGAAAGATATTCAAATCTAAATCAATGCTTTACTTTAATGCTAAGATTATATGTAACATTCATTCAGCATCTTGATTATGATAAGACTTCTGGATTTGTATAAATATGCCTTTTATAGCAAAATGTTCTTTTTGCACAATTTGAGTTTGTATTAGGTTTGAGCCCAGGACATTGAACTGTATAGTTTTTCACTGATTAGAATGAGGCATGCCATAGGGAAAGCGAATGCTAATGATTATTCTCCATTTTAGATAGAATGGTTTTGTGTGTCGAGTTGTGCTGTGTCTAATGTCTATGTAGCGACTGTAGGTATAAAGTTTAGTTTTCTATCAATTGGAGAAATGCTTTAAATTTTAGGGCAGCTAACGTAAGTGAATGGGTCAATAGACCACATTGATGCACTGTGCAGGTAATAGTGTTAAGTTACTGTGTTAAGTGACTCCCCTTACACAGTGAAAAGGATAGAACGTAAAGTGTATGCCTTAGTAAAACCAATGGGATTTACTTTTCAACATGCTGGCTGAAGTCCTGAGAAATGAAGCCGTGTTCAACTTCATGCTGTCTTTCAGTAGTTCACTAATTTAGTGAAGGAGAATTGAGTGGCAGGCAGGAACTTACTGATGTTTGGAGAATGCAGGCTGTGTTTACTAGTAGCTATATGTTATCACTGACCTAACATCAGAAAGTAAAATGTTATGGGGCACTCAGCCTGTTTTTTCTTTGAGGGTCGTAACCTATACCCAATTCCTCTGTTAAGTGTCGAGCAACGTATAGAACTGGTATCCAGTAATGCTTACCCATGTGTGATGTTGGCAAGCTTTCTAAAGGACTGCTTTTTAACACTACAACAAGCTAATATAGGCCACTTTCATATATTGTATACGTGTGACAGATAATGACAGATGCTCATTTCCGAGCCTTGTTGAAGTCAGACTGCTATCTGAGAGTAGCAGAATTGTGATTGCAGGGGAGGAGAAACGTTTCTGCCTATCACTAAGTGAGCAGAAGTGGAAGGAGTAGGTTGTTGAGTTAGGCATACATGAAACTTTCACACCCAGCAACTCAGGTTTGTTTTGCCAAATGTTACTTGTTTTCAATTTTATATTCAAATGTCTTCTAGGTATACACAATTTATGGTTGTTGTTGAGTTTTTTTATTTCTTTCTGTTTGTGTGGTTGACTCAATACTACAGAATTTTCCAGGTAGAATTCTGGAAATTCCAGCCCGAGTATTAACTCAGGTGTGCTTTCTGTTGGTCATGTATGAAAAAAGGAAGTTGTTTCAGTGCTTCTTGCGGATGTAGTTCTTTGGGAGATGGAAGGGCAGCAAGACTGTGCTTCCCTGGAATCACAGCAGCAGCTTCTAATTTTTGTTCATTACCAACAGGAAGCAAGACTCTAGATAGGCCGTGATCCACATGAGAGAAATGTAGGTATGGATCTGTGGGCTGGAACTCACAGAATTTGGGAGTTGGAGTTAAAACAAAAACGAATGGCACATCTCTAGTAACTGATTCAGGCAGCAGTACTAAGTGTATGGCAAATGCAGTATAAGGCCCTGTACTGAATTGCAAAATTTGGTCCTTCATTCTTCCTTTCAAGTCTTTGTAAATTGGGCAACACACTGCATTGCAACCAAGAAATCTGATGCTGCCCAGTTTTTTTAAAAGATAAATGAGGGATGCTAACTTACTTAACAGTGACTTACTAAATAATTTATTACAGTCTCTCATTGGAGGTGTATCTGCATTTTTCTGAGCAGTATATTAGAAAACCATTTCCAATCTTTTATAGAGATGATTCATTCCACCTGGACAAACATCTTGTGTGTGCCATTAAGCCCCGATTATATTATGTTCCTCCCATACTGGTTGAAAATGACTTTTAAAAGAGCTGAGCATTGATTGGGTAATGCCCTCCTTGTGTAAGTCTCCTATATTCTGTTTTGAAAAAATGGCCTGTTATATTGCCCATTTCAGTTCAGTATATACAGGTGTGTTCTCACACACCTGAGTATTTTATTTTTGGAGGGTCTGTATTTTAAGTTACATATGGACCTTTGTCTTGATGCTGTATTATGCAAGGGATCCTCTTCAAAACTAGCTTCCCTGTTATTACCTGAAACAGGATAAGGACATAGGGAAGGATATGCTGAACCAGTTGCTTGAGGCAGATGTTGAAAATCTCTTTTCTTGCTACTCTTAAGTTGATCAGCATTCTTACTATGTATGAATGTTTCAACAAAGTAGCACTGCTATATGATATACTATATCCGCTGCTGTTTGTTTTTTATATGAACTTTAATATTTTGAAGTCCACATAACCAAACCTTTGATATACTTGTTGAGCTGATTTTTAACCTGGAATTTCTTCCTTTTTTGCCCTCCTGCAGGTGGACTGCGTGGGATAGCCAGAGGAGGCATTACAGGACTGATGCTTACCAGCCTCTATGCTCTCTATAACAATTGGGAACATATGAAGGGCTCATTGCAAAGGCAGTCACTTTGAGCATGACTGTAGAGAACTGAGTATATACTTAAGTAATGCAATCAGACTTGAATCCCTTCAACGCAGCACAGAACTGAATGGAGTATAATAGACTAGAGAATCTCATTGTGATGACATTGTTATGAAGAGTGCCCCATCCTTTCAACGGACAGGTGGTGAGATGTGCTACTTTTTCTGCAAGGGTGAAGATCTTACCTCCACAGCATGTTCTGTTCACTTTTGCTCAGGCCAGAATTACTGTATTTTAACTTGGGTTATATAATCATCTGTGTAGCCAGGTTTGTGTACTAGTACCATTGCTTGATTTCATTGTAATAAAGTTTAAGTCCCTATTCCAATTCCTTTCTCTTAAAAGATGGGCCCTAACTCAGTAATAGCTGGTGGTAAAGGTACCTATGGCCATGGTGAGCCACCAATGGACCAATAACTCAAAGGTACATTAAGGTGAGGTGGTAGAAAATATATTGAAAATGGAAAAAACAAGTACATGCTTTAAAAACAGTCTTATGGTGTTTTGAGAAGCTAAGACATTTAGGATGGCATCAGCTTTCATAATTACCCTTTATATCATCAGATACATGAAGTACTGCCCTGTCACAGAGGCATAAATACATAATTGGGAAGGAGTTTTTAAACTTGACACCTGAGAACTGAAATGCAGAAAACCACTTAACAGTGGCAATTCACAAAATATTATGCATTGGTGAGTAACAAATCATAGGCTGAAGTTCACCCACAGTAAAGTAAAATAAGCCTTCCTGTTTAAGTCACATATAGTGAATCCATTAAAGATATTCCATCTTGAAATATGTAAGAAGGGTTTTCCCTGTGTCCTAGATGGCTAAGTTCCTCCCCTAGTTTTTAATTTTGACATTACTGCTATTAAGTTTATGTCTGTTACTACTCTGCAGTTTTGTGAATAAACCACTGCTAAGGCAGTTATCACCAGCTGTACTTTGAGTTTTGTCTCTGACATTACTGTTTACAGTTCTCACCTCCATCTTATAACACCTACAAGTTACAGGATATTTTGTGCATGAGTTGAAGGACACTGTAATTCACAAAAGACTGCTCCATGATAAATGTGTTAAGAGCCCTGTACTGTCTCAGACCAGGATTACTGCTACTGACTGGTAGCAGCTCTTCAGTTTTAGGCAGAGTCCTACCTGAATATTGTGAACGCTGAATCTGGAGAAACTACATAAAGAGCACATGCTTGGAGTTTTTGCAAGGCTTTACTTTTCTTGCTGCAGCAGACAAGCAGTGCTCAGCTCTTCAGACCGCTAGCTTTAAATGGGTATCTAGCTCCAAATATATTTGTGGAAGCTGCTAAAAATGTAGTACATCTGGTGGGAATTTTTAAGTAAAACTACAAATACAGAACAGTAAATTGTGTGACCTCAGTTAATACTAAATAACATTCAGTCTTCTGACTTTTTATGTTTGCCATTGTCTTGAGGATGAGAAGTGTCAAATGCAAAAGGAAGCCAGAAGGTAAGAAAAAGGCAGAAGCCACAGCCCTCTGTTGAAATAGCAAAGATTTCAGACTTGCAGTTGTTTGATAGCAGCAATTTGCTGTTAAACTGAAGGAAACCTGGTGTAGATCCATTACTAAAAGGACTTGAGACTGTTCTGTAGCACACAGGCTGCGGTGCTTAAATTCTTTTGAGTGGTTTGTATTATTCTAAGGTGTTGTGTTTTTTAAGATAGATTCCATGAAGTGAGATCCACTATAGCAGGGCAAGTGGTCTTTGTTTCAATTTAGTACCTGCAAGCTGCAGCAGCTTTTCTTACAATTCACTTGATATATGCATTTTCTAAAAGGTCTGTGTTTCAGTAGTTTTTGACAGGTCATGTGAGTAGATGCGTTATATGTCTATGAGGGCTTTCAACTTTAGACATAAGCCAAGTGTAAGCAGCAAGTCCCTTAAATTCACCATGTTCATCTCTGAACTGTGAGCAATGAGAACTCATTAGATGTTAGTGAGGATACTGCTGATTTAGCCCCTAGCCACTATACCTTTTGCCTACTCAAGTATTCTGTTCATAATAGAATGTAAGAGCTATCCTATTATGTTCCTAGCAGGTTTAGAAAATACCAGTCCATTAACAGGTGCCTCAGTAAACAGTGAAAATTCCTAATTTATATGTAGTACCATGAATCAGCTTTACTGCAGAAATTAGTACCAAGGGCTCAGAAAATTAGATTTTTTTCCCCAAAGAAATTCAATTTAAAGGAGAAAATAGCTTTGGCTCTAGAGCTAGGTGCACCGCTGAATATAGTCTCGCATATATCCAGGATGAGCACACAAACTGTAAAAGGAAGCAAGATATTACTATCAAGTTGTTGTGGTAATTATAGCATGGAATATTAACCATATGAATAATACAAATCTTGCAAGACGAGGCACTGTTTTATTCACAGCAGTGGTTTAATGGAAGGACTTTATTTGTATCAACAAATACTGAGTTAATGGGAAAGACAGAAAGGACTTATTTTCCACATACCAGGGTTCTTCCATTTTCATTAGTGATTCCATCCTACTAACCTGAGCAGTACAAACATTTAGAATAATTTTAGTAAATGGCTCAAAATATAACTGGCTAAGGAGAGATGGGCAGTGAGAGTGGCTAACACCCAGCAGTAAGTCTCAACTAGAGTAGGCCCACTGAATTAGTGGGGATTTGATGCGTCCACTCCTTTGTAAGTTCTACTGATTGAACAGGCTTACTCTATTTGTAATTTATTACTGATTTCAACCAGTAACACTCTGTGCTGTTGATAGCCTAAGCCTGGATAGCTTTTAGACTGAAGCAGGATTAACTGAACACCAGAGTCTATCAGAACTACTTCTGTATGCTCTGCCTCAAAACATGTCTTATAAAGTTCATTTTTAAATCAACATTTTCTTTGCTCTGAATGCATAAAGTTGCTTTCATCTTAAAACATGTCAAGATGCTATCATTTTTTATAAAGTTAACATAAACTGGGGTTAGATAACCTTGCTATTCAATACAAAAATGCTCTGAATTCAGCAATGTGCTTTAAACAATGCAACTTTCATCTACTCCTCATACTTGTTACCTTAATTAAGATGACATCAAAGTAACTGGGAGCCCTTATTCATCTGCTTTGCATAAAGTCTTTTTTAAGATGTGTTTCTTAAAATCAATTTAAAAAAATATATAGAACATTTCAGCCACATAGTTCATACAGGTCTGGAGCACCTAATTGTTGTGTAAGAGCCATGTCATCAGACATGGCCTTAAGTAACAATTAAATATATTTACAACAAGAACTGATGGAAAGAGAGATCAAGAGCTGCTCTTCACTAAAAATTTCTGCTAAACCGGTTTTCCCTCCCCAGTATTTGAAATGATTTCTGAATCCTGTTATCACACACTCCCATATTCTCAGTGATCAGGAAGCAAGAGCCAATGTACAATGGGTATAGTCCCCAAATCAGGAAAATATTTCAAAGCTGACTTCAACAACTGCAAAGTCTCGAGATGACATGTCTAAAAAAGATCTTGGCATCTTAGCCCGTAGGATACATACAAAGACACTGTTGCTTACATGTTGTATAAATCAACTTTGCGGCAACAATTCAGCTAGATGTAGCTTTTAAAGTTTAGAAGAGGCAGATGTCGGACACAAAGTTTAAAAGCAGCACTCAGTACAAATGTGCGGTGATCAGCAGAAAGATGGCGTGTTTGAAATGGTTCAGGTTTTTCACATCTGGAAAAAGAAAGAATTAACACAGTGAACAGAAGAGTGAGCAGGAGATGGTAAATTCTGGAAAAACATTTGATTCAGCTACTGGGAATATTCTAAGTACTGCTCAGATTGTGCAGCCATGTGTGTGGTGTTCTGAATGATCAAAGGCATTGGCATAAGATCCTAGGTCTTTAGGAAACTCACTGCTCTTAATCTTCACTAGAGAAACACAAACCCTGCTTAGCCAAAATGTTCAAAGGCAGTCTCCAAGACAACATTATGGCTTCACTTTTGACAAACTCCTTTTTGAGCCTGAAGAATGTAGCAAAGTCTATATGGGACTTTTGCATTTTTAGGACTTCCAGAATTTTCCCAGAACCACCACTCTACCCCCAGGCAGAATTATGGAAGTGAAAGCCTTCAAACCAGAATGGTTAGACCAGCCCCTCCTACCTCCCACGCTCTGCTCTGTCAAACAGCAAGAAAACTGTATGCTGAACTGCGAGAGTGCTAAGAATCTCTACAACTCACAAAGGTGCATAAGAGGGGGAGCCCCAGTGGACTGTATAGAGATAGTTCCACCGGAGGCTATCACACATGCACTTTTGCAAGTCGCAGAGATCCTTGGGACAGTGCGGCTGGGCAAATCCCAGGACTGGGGAACTCCTAAAAATGCCCAAGTGTCATGCCTATTCCTATATACAGTAGTGCCCCGCTTGACGATGATAATGTGTTGCAGCAAAATCACTGTTAAGCAAAATCATCATCAAGCGAAAAAAAACCCCATTGAAATGCATTGAAAACCAATCAATGCGTTCCACTGAGCGAAATACCTGATCGTGCAGCGAAGATCCTCCGTAGGGCGGCCATTTTCTGCTCCCTATCTTGCGAAATGAGGTCAGCAAAACAGCAGGGAGCCATTTTGAGAGCCGCCGATCAGCTGTTTTAAATCGTCTTTAAGTGAAAAATCGGTTCCTGAAGCAGGTAACCGATTGTTGTGAAGCGAAAAAATACCATACAAACATTGTTTTGCGATCGCTATATCAAGCGATTTCGTCATCTAATGGGGAATTGTCAAGTGGGGCACCACTGTAAGGACAGCTGAAACCAACAAATCCCTCCCAGTGCTTATGAGAAATACCCATTTTATTCCTGAAATGTCCTATTATTTTGGCCTAGAGCCAGTTCACAGAACAGCTGTCATCCTTAATTATGCACTCGGCAAACAAAGAGTAAACATCATGCAACCCAGTGCTCTGCAGTACTTACTGACAAAACATGGCAGTGGCATATAGGTTGCACTTTTAAAACAAGGTAGGTTTCCATGTTTGCAGCTGAGCAAACACATTAAATTTCCATCTCAAATCTAGAATAGAAAATAGGAGACCATTTATGATTACCTGTAAAGGAGTCCGATAGAGCCACTTTTCTCTATCTCCATTCAGTTTCATACAAGCAAAGAGATCACAAACTGTAGGAAGACCGCAATCCTAAAAGAAACAGATTTTCTTACTATTCAAGTCAATCTAGAAGAATTGCTATTTTGTAGCCTGTATTTCTGAACAGTTAACAGATACACTAGAAATCACAAACATTTTTGAAGAAATACTAAATATTAGACAAACATCTAAATATTAGACAAACATGCAGTGCTATCATCTTCAATGTTTTTTGTCTATTAGTTGTGATACATACATGTGCCTGTTTGCGTAGAAGCCATTTATCTTCTATTGGAAGCTGGCTGGATGCTTCTATGTTCTTTGAAGACAACACCCAACTGTTGACATTAAGGGGGAGGTGAAATGGTTCCAAAAAATCCAGAAGTGAACTCTTACAACTCATCTCTGCCTTCTCTGTGCTTGCCTTCTCTTCTGTGTTTGATGCTTTGACTTCTGATTTGACTAGCCAGGCTGATAAAGGAGTATCAAGCAATGCCTTCAGTGGTTCTACTACATCAGGGCTTTGTTGTTCTGTTGTAAGTAACGCCTGTTCTTCCACTGACTGTTGGGAAGGATGAAGCCAGATATTCAAAGCAGGTTTGGGTATCTCAGGCGGAGTGGTTGAGCTAGGGGTCTGCCCTACTGGCATGCCATTTTTATCCTTGCCTTCTTTCCTAAGGAGCCACTTGCATAGAGCTTCCTTCTCACAGTTTTCATCACACATACACTCTGAAAAACTGGAACATGGTTCATTTGCTCTACAAACATCTTCTACTTTCAAAGGGGGTGGCTGTAACCAGGCATCAGTGGTGGGTAACTTCTTTCCTTCAAGGTGCTCACTGAGGCACTTAAGGTTTCCAAGATTTTCTATCTCTATACCCTTCGCCTGACTGCCACAACAATTATTGCAGGCATCAGATTTGGGAAGCCAATCACTGATACTGTATTCTTCCCTGAATGGCTTAAATACATGTTTCCACTTTTCTTCCAAATTATTCTTGTCTGATATAGGTGGAGTAAGTAGCCAGTCAGAAATATTAATCTCTTCTTGTCCTGTGACCTCCAGTTCATCTATTTTCTCAATGGAAAAGGTGGAGTCAATGGTGGAGGTGGAACTCTTACGTCGGTAGAAATCAACTTTTTCAGGAACATCTGGTTGTTGGTTCTGCAGGAGCCAGTTCTCCAAATTTTTCAGATTTCCCCAAGCTTGTTCCAAGTAACACACGTCGGAAGATTTTACATCCTAACAAGGAAAGCACCACGAATAATTTAACATCATTAAGAAAACTTCCCAAAAGTTACAAGATTATGCTCCTTCATAATAAACAGTGAAATACTTCCACCCCATCAGTACTGAAAATTCTAAAACAACTTCCCAAGTATACAGTACCTGGTTGGTCTCCTGTGCATGTGGGTTTAAAAGCCAGTCCTTGCAGTTGTTGCTGGGAACATAAGGAGTATAACAGGCACTATCAGGTTTGCTTCCAAGAAGCCAGTCAGAGAGTGGGCAGCCCAGGGTACCAAGTACAGGTTTCTGCAAAATAAAAATTTGTCAGCACATTTACATCCCATTTATTTATTTATTTATTTAGTTTATATCCCGCCTATCTGGTCATTAGTCCATGATGTGGGGAATTCATATTTTTCTGAAGGATATAACAGCTTATTTATAAATAGAATTCTATCATTTGTACAAAGAAATATATTTGGAATGTGAAGTACTATTCTGTCTTTACTGAATTTTCAGCAGTGCCCAGCATGGTGAATCTAGAACAGGGGTAGGCAAACTTTTTTGCCCACAAGAGCCAAATGTGACAGAAAGCCACACAGTGACAAGTACACATGCCTGAAACCTGCTGGTACTCCTCCCTGTGTCTTATAGAGGCCCACCACTCCCTCTGTCTTACACTCACCCACAATCCCCCTTCACCTCTATTTATTATCCTTTCTTACCCTTTTACAGTGTGTCAGATCCTGATTTTTTCCCCCCTCACAAATATTACTCTGAAATTAAAAGACCTCAAGAAACAAATATCTGGTTGTCATTACCCAATCAGATTTGCAGTAGATAAATCTTAAACTACCTGCTCCTGTTTGGCTGTCACAGGACAGTTCTGTACGTAAATCCAAGGGCCACAGTCTTCTTTGTCAGCGGTTTGCTGCTGAAAAAAACCCACAGAATTTTATAGTCTATTAAATATTGCTCAATGAAGGTTTAAAATAACAGTGTAAGCTAACTGCTGTGCTTTCAAATTTTAAGTTAATTCAAACAAGTACTATCAAGTGTTATATCAAACAATAGGTTGGGTGGTGGTTTATAAAATAACACACAGAAAAGGTCATTGTCTAAGCATCAGAAGCCTGCAATTAGTTCTATGAACTAAAGACCAATTTCCAGACCTACTGGGATATGTCACACAGTTACACTAAGCTGCCACCAACCATTCCCTTTAAGAAGTCACACAGACCAGGGATGGATTTTTAAACAATAAAAAGAATAAGGTTTATTTTAAATACACAGAGGGAAAAATAAACAATCAGGTGAATAGGATAAAATAATGTGGCTTATTCTCACTCATACAAGCATACAGTTTGGTTCACCCAGAACCCTTAACTTAAAGCACAGACCCTGAACCTATCAGTTCTGGCTAACCAACAGACACCTGAACCTATCAGGTTGGTACTCTGACACACAGAAGTACCCTGTCTGACACACAGACTCCCACAACAGCTTCTTCTTCCCAGCTGCTGCTTCGTCACAACCCAGTGTCTCTCAGCATCTCTCAGCACACAGGCATCACACATTTATACAGTACAGCCCCTCCTCCTGATGTCCCGCCTTCCACTCCCCATAGGATGGAACTTTCCCTCCAAACCCATGACAGACAGGTAACATCAGTGCTGTATGTAACAGGGTGGTGGTTTTTAAAATAATACACAGAAAAGGTCATTGACTAAGCATCAGAAGCCTGCAATTAGTTCTATGAACTAAAGACCAATTTCCATTGTCCCCCCACCCCTTAAAATTTGGTCACATCACACTGCAAGGTGGTCTTGAAACAAAGGGGGAAACAGCAGTCAAGGTGAAGTGCTAGCTACCAGTCAAAAAATCCCTACTAATTACAGGCTTTCCAATGTCACCCACACAAAAAAACTCCAACTCACCATTGTCTTGATTGAGCCAAATGTTGTAATAGCCTGGCGAAGGTATGGGACATCAGCCTCAAAGTTCAAGATGGATGTTTCTTCTGGCTGGAGAGTTAAATTGCCGAGTCTGCACGGGCAAAAAAGGAGGGAATGCCAATTCAAATGATACACCTCATAGAGCTCTTGTTCATAATGAAGTGACCAAGCTGCAAAGAGCCAACGTCCAGAACTTTATGACTCACTGTACTGATCTGTACCAAGGGCTACTGGGCATCTCTCAGTTTTTAAAAAAACACAAATACTGTAATCTCCATATTTTAATCCACAAACAGGTATATCTTGGTGGTAAAGCACTGTCGAAGAGGCTTATAATTTTTACATCGGGCAAGCAATTTTTGTGGGTCTAGAAGCAGATTTCAACATACATGCATTCCATATCATTCAGGGCAAGAAAGGCCACAAAAGGTGTGAAAAACACATGGAAGATGAGAAAGGTAGTGATCAAAAGTCCACTTCTGGTTTTGACAAAGAGATGGGGGGTGGCACCAAGTATCACAGTATTCTGAGCTAAAGTTTAATTCAAAAAGTGAAAGCCATTAGATCCAATTCCCTTTTAGAAAGACATATAGTGTGCCATGTGATAATTCATAATGCACAATGAAATGGACAGTGTTTGCCACTGAAGTAATTCTAAATCCAACATTAAGCTGAATAATTGTGCAAAACTCTAAAATTGCTTACCTATCCAAGCAGAGGGAAATCTGATTCGCAAGGTCATCACTGTGAGGCTGCTCCAGTTGATGGATAAGGCAATTGAATTGTCCCAGCAACTGTAGGATGGGGGGAGGGAGTGACAATTATGTTATTTTATGGAGAACAGCATGAGCTAGCGTCAGTAAGGCTTAGATAAATGGAATGATGTTCTTATGTCAAGGACAAGCAACACAAGCTCAAAGCTATGCTACTCTGGTTCGGAACCTGTAAGTGGGACTTGTATAAGCTTACCCAACAGAGTTGCTGTGCTTGTTGCTGCAAGGCCTCCTCCTTCAACTGCTGAATGAGATCCACCTGTTCAAGCAGCCAGACTTCACGACTGCGCAAGCATTCTAGGTGGCGGCTGATGCAGCTGTGAATCTGAGCTTTTACCTGCAAGACAGATGCCACATCCAATCACTGGCTGTCAGCCAGGCTGGGAGCTTAACTGATATATGTCTTATGGCAATTCACTGAAGCCTCTTCTTTAGAAATATTACCACCTTTCAGCAAATAATGCAAGGGTGAGCCTCCACCACAACAGGGTAAAGATCCAGGATGAAACAGTATCCTGAAACAAACGCCATCACCCAAGACATGGATGCAGTGAATCTTCACTGGCAGGAGCCTCAGTGATCCAGGCTGGAATTTGGGACCAAATATGCATTTATTGCCTTATATCAATGGGATGTGGGAAGGGGTTGAGTTCAGAAAAATATGTGTTCAAGGGTCTGAAATATCCTTTTAATTCCAATGTGTGATTAGGCATCATGTGCTTAGAAATTGAGAATGGGATGAAGTTCAACTGAATTCACATGTAGCAAGAATATTGTGGCATTTTTAGAATTAAAAGGTTCATCTCGGTGTCATCTTTCACAGATTATAATCCACTTCCTCAGATATCTACATTAAAAATTACCATATAATCCAACACACCGCAGAGCACTAGATCCACACTATATAGGTATCGTCTATTCCCCAGTAATTAAACCAAAAAGACAGCTGCATATGGCAACTAAGATGCAGTAAACAAAGTTGTAATACAAATGAACTGAAAACTGTCCTCACCAATCCTCAGACTTCCACATGTGATACTACACATCTACCATTTATCTTGCAATTTTAACTGACTTTTTTTATTTTTATAACCACGGGTTTTGACAACATTGACTCCTCAAGCTTAAAAAAAATCTTCCTAGACTAATGTAAAAGCATTCTGCCACAAGATTTATTTTAGGAAAATTAGCAGACTTTCTTGATATCCACTTTATTCTACATGAAATGATTTAAAAGGATAAAATATTCAGGACCTGCAAGACACAATTAGCCCTGTGATAAGGTCCACTACGAATGGGAAAGCATCAAAACAGCTTCTATAACATTTTAAGCACTGCTATGTTTTTCAACCTACTGCCTCATACCTCTCTCCAATTGTCTTTCACTTGTTGTTCAGCCTTGACTATTCCACTGATTGCTGTCTCCAGGTCCTTCTTGGCTTGAAGACATTTGTCAAGTGGCTCTTTGCTGCCAGAGCTCCCACTTCTCTCCTGAACCAGGCTCATCCTTCACAATTCTGAAAGGACAAAGAAAACAAAGTCTCTCATATACCCTGAAAAACATAAAGAGAACTGGCAATAAATAGTGGTCTTTCTACTATTATACACCAACTATTTTCAGGCTCCACTACACTGCTAACCCAAGCCTGCCTTCAATGTGCCAGCAACACCTCTTTTTCTTTTTTATTATGGACCAACCTCTATCTACTGGACCAGCCATCATCACTTCCAGCATTACCTCTGGACACCCCAATAGAGGTGCTCTTAGCACTGAAGACAGATTTTGAGGCCAAGCACAAAGGCTCAAAGTTCAGGGTTGGAGAAACACTTTGACACCGTATAGCTAGTGCCAAAGGTTACAAGGATCCTACAAATTCTGTGTTCACTTGGTAAGAACAGCAAAGCAGCAGCACAGATAAGCTAAGCAGAGACTAGTCAACTTTGCCCCAAGTAATGTACAATGCTTACTAATAAACAGCCACATGCCAGAAATCACATTAGATTCCTGCTAAAGTTACAAGCATTCTGACCTTTATCATCTCTGTGCACTCCTGTCTTGCGTACAACATTTAAGTAATCTTTGCAAGCATGTGTTTGAGGCCCACAGTTATGCTCTAAATACACATCCTTACATGGATCAAATTGATGTTCCCCTACAAATGAAAAAATAAAACCTACAATTTCCTACATTAATTCTTTCATATATCTTGAACCTTCCAAACTACATGATCAGCAGATTAATGTATGTTTGTAATGACTGTACCTTCTCAGATGGTAGCCCTGGAAAATACTGTATATAAAGCATTGAGGATTTTCTTTATACTAAAGCAACTTCTTCTGTATTTTAGACTAGCATGTTGCAAAGAAAGGCTCTACTCATATGTACCCTAGATAAGTGTTCTAATACACTGTAATATGTATCTATAGTATCTGGAAATGCTGCTGTCCATAATTTACTACTAGGTTTAGTTATAGGAAATAAAAAGTCAAAAGTAAAAGAGAAAAAAAAAACAAAAGGAAGGGGCCAACTCACTGGCAGAAGCCAGGATCCAGAAGTTCAATGGCTAGAATCCAAAGCCAGGTTTCCTATAGCTTTAATAAAAAAACTATATTGCCCGGAGCTGGACTTGAATAACAAACTTGATATTGTTCAGTTCTTATTTTTTTACACACACAGCAAGATATGTTGCATGCCTCCCTCATACAGTAATGTATTGTTCCATCTCTGTGACAACCACTTCAGCCTTGCTTTTGTCGTTTAAACGACCCAGACCCTACCCTATTCTTTTCCTAGAAATTTGCACCTTGGTTTCCAACATGCTGAACTGTACATCCAATGCCTGTAAAGAAACCAGATTTTCAGGCCATGCACACCTCTTACTCCCTGGTGGAGTTTCAAAATTTCAAAAGAGGCTTCGAGCGGAAAAACAGCAAAGTGTTTCTACCACAGCAGAATGGAACTAAGCAGCAGCTGGGGATAATCCGCTTTATTCCAGGCAAACCCAATCGAGACTAGGATAACCTGCAATCCCATGCACAGGGTTTCAGTTTTCAGATCGAAGCACTTGAAGGAGTCAATGGCACCGAGTTCGACGGAGTGTTCCAACCCTACGTGGGATTGGAACGTCGGGCGAAAGTAACCGGGGGGGGGAGGGCCTCTTTCCACCTCCCGGCGTTACTCCCTTGTCCTACATACCTGACTGGCTGCCTTCGCAGGAGGACCGACGGCCAACTCCGCTCCCCGACCGAGACAGGTTTATCAGCCAAGGCCAGGCTGCTTTAAACGGGCTGGCCTGCTGGGACTCGGCCCGGGCCCCGCCTCCCCGCAGCCCACGTGGCCAGGAGGGAGCCGCCACAGCCGGGACACGGTCTCGCACGTCGCCCGGACGAGGAGGAGGCGGCGGAAAACTGCCCAGCAACGCCCGGGAGAAGGAGGCGGCGCTCTGCGATCGCTCAGCCCGGGGAGGGGGGGGCGGAACTCAAGACAGGCGAGGAGGCTGGTTCTAGATGGGCCCTTAACCTTGATCAGCTGGCGGGGGTGGGTGGGGGATTCAGCGGAGATATCTCCAACTGCCCTTATGCGCATGCCTCTCTTCTTTCTTTCTTTCTCTCCCTTTTTTTGTCTGATAGTTAAGCCTCGCTCTTAGGCAAAGAAAGAAAAGGGAGCCGTGTGGTCAATACAAAATAAAAGACAAATGCAAATACAGGCGATCCTCTTATAGCCATTTCTGATAATAACGTTTATGCTAAAATACAGACACCAGGCCGCCTATGTAATTTGAGATGTTCGTGCAAATCAGTGACTGAAATCCAGCAGTAGGTTGCAACTAGAGTAGGCCCATTGAATCACTAGAGATTGGGGGTGTCAACACCTATGTAAGTTCTACTGATTCAAATGGGAGTACTCTTAACTGACATTTACTATTGGGTTCCAGACAGTTCCTGAAAGTCGCTTCCTTACAGTTCTTTGGCAGACCAGATGTTTGCAAGGGTTCAGCCCTTGATATTTCCTGTTGAAGGAATCTCAGATAGAGAGGAGGGGAAGTATTTCTGCCTGGGAATCTGGAGAGCTGCTGTCAGAGCAGCTAGGACTAACCAGGCAACCTATCATCCAAACTAGTACAAGGTAGGTCCAATGTTCTCAGAAAACATGCAATAAAGTTTGTCTGCAAACACTAAAACTAGAGTCAAGTGGCACACATTTATTATAGCATAAGATTCCGTCATGCTCATAAGTGGACTTTATGTGGAAGAAATGTGATGCTACAAATTTGCCAACATTAAAGACACTGCATTACTTTGTTACAATAAAGCCCATGGATGCCCAACTTCTACTTCAAAGAACTGAATGAAGGCAACATATCTGCCTACCTTGCCAGTGATTGCTCCTCACAACAACCCTATGAGGTAAATTTGGCGATGCGCATAAATGGTACACAACTACATTGTTTGTAAGCTTTCTTGTTTAGTACACATGTGAACATGGGTAACCTCATCCAGCTCTCCTGCCACTATATGGGCTGACTTGTTCTTAAAGTGATCAGTGCAGTGATTTCTCTCAATAAATACAATTTGTACACACAAAACACAGTTTGCACTTAACCAGTCAGTCCTGGCCATATCCATGCTAAGCACAGTGTATTTCTTGCTCTTACCTTTTTTCCTTCTGGTGCAACAATTTAAACAAGATAATCTTCCATTAATTATATTCCTGAGTGATAAAATTAAACAAGCTTCTCAACTTGAAAGTTATTATGCTATGTTTGTGTTCTCAACCGTCAAGTCGGAACTGACTTATAGTGACCCTAATAGGGCTTTCAAGGTATGTGAAATACATAAGGAGTAGTTTTGAGGGTTCCACTCCTCTAGTGAGTTTCCATAGCTGAGCAGAGATTGAAACCCTGTTTTGCAGAGTCCTAGTCCATTACTCTATCTATTACACCACACTAGGAATCAATAATAATAACCTTAGAACTGCAGATATGGAAGGGACCAAATGGATCATCAGTCCCTGCCAAGGAGGCACAGGGGGGAACTGAACTCTTAATCTCTGACTCTGCAGCCAGAAAACTAAACCATTGCACTATATCCACTATATATTTTTAATCAAACTTAGAAACTATTTAACTTTTGCACTATGTAGACTATTATAAAGCACATGGCAAAGCCCATATTAACCAGCAATGCCTAGAAAATGCTGACAAGATGGCAAGCCTCCCACTTAATGCAGGTGTTCAGTTGGTGCATTCCAAGTTTAGTTTGTTTTGCCCAAAGAATCATGCTCACACCCATCTACCAGTTTAAGACCACAAGATGTTGCAATACATCCCACCAGATCTCATACAATCACCTTGCTTAATTCAAACTATCCAAATATTTTCTGCTCATTTCATACTACTCGAAAAACAAGAGGCACATGTGTTTTTGTGACATTTTGGATATTAGATGTTCCAATATAAAATGTTTACCATAGAGATGCCTGTTGTGTGGTGTTTTTTTAAAATTAAATCACTCATGCATAATCTAATTCTATCTCTACTTTAAGATCTACCTTGGGGTCCTGCCAGAGTACCCCATCATTATTTATTTATTTATTTGACTTGTATGCCACCCGCACTCTGCAAGATCACTAAGTCATTGGTCTTCTCAGATATCGCCCCAAATCTTTGCAGCTGCCTCATATCAAGCTATACTTTTCCTCTTCAACTCTGATGTATATTTGTCTGTGAGCCATTGGAGGCCTAGCACTACAGTACTTCCGAATTTTAAATGGAAGTGTAAGCAAGTGATATGTATGCATATGTCAAGCAGCCCTGGGAAAGATCTATTACAAGGTTGCATTTGATTGATTCCATAGGTTGGTTGGTTGGTTGGTTGGTTTGTTTTTGGCTTTCTAACTAAATTCTGGACATCTTTTTTGATGTGATCACTTTGAATATGAAATTTGTTTCTTCTTAAATATGTTGATTAAAAATATGTTCAGACACCTATATATTTATTTATTTTATTTAATTTTATTTATATCCCGCCTATCTGGTCAATTACGAAATGTAGCGACTGAGTAGGTGGAGATAAGTACTTCATCCAATGTTAAGTGTGCAGTGGGGTTTCCTCTGATGCTGACATAGAACTGCAGGCGTAATGGAGCAGCATGGCTCAGAGGAGAGGCCCTAGGCTGCTTCACATATGCATATGTATCACTTGAATACATTCTGGCACCTGAGTGTATGAACTGAGTACTGAAAAATACTTTGTTTGGAATATGCAAAGAAATATGGAAGAACTGTGGTGCCAGACCTCCAGTGGCTCACATACAAGTGAATGTTGAAATTACAGACATGCATTTTTCAATGGCAGAAAAGTTCATGAGATAAGAAAGTGGACATCTCATTCCCAGTTAGCTGTCCCCAGTTTTCTCCCTTCCAAGATGCTTCCCACTTATGGGCCCATATCCTACTGAGCTTCTGATAAGTGGAAAGTGCCACCAATGTACAGTAGTAGCATATAATGGTGCCACTGCACAAGTTCTGCCTCTTTGAACTTGGTTTCTCTTTATGGGTATCCTTATTTGCCAATGGCAAGCCTTATGCAAGGAATGCAGTCACATGTTACAGGGCTGGCAGGATTTCCTGCTCTACAGATGCTCAGGAAGATACTAGTCCCAGAGTGGTCGACCAGACCAGATGGGCGGGATATAAATCAAATAAATAAATTTCACTATAAAGCACATGGCGCTCCCTTACTGTGCAATGGAATATATTCTAAGACTTATTCCATTTCTTCACAATGTCCTTCGTCCTAATAAATTCAACATCAATCAGGAAGGTTACGCCTAAGTAAATGATTGTCTGTTACTCCTTAAGCAAACAGGGGGAAGTGCATGAGTTGCCCTAAGAGCTTGGTCTTGGAGTAAAGCAAGTACTTTTTCCAAAGCACTTAGGAGTGTATCTTGCTAATTAAAGTAACCAATATGTAAATAATTCCCTAGAAGCTACATTAAACACCAGCAAAAGTATAAAGGGACGGGCCAGGACTAGGCACTGCAAAAAGCAATTAATTACCTTTGCAGGCTGTATGGATTAAGACACCAGTAGCAACATGTATTAATATACAGTAATACAGAAAGTGCTTTTTATGTTGTTGGTTTGTTTTCTTTTTAAACTACACATTTTAAATGTGAGTCAGAGATTCTAGAATACAAAGTCAGCTGTAAGTATTTTTAAACATTCTTTCTACAGACAACTGTTTTCCAGATGGCATTATATATCTGAAGTTCATGGCTGCACAAGAGGAAATGAAACACTTGCAACATCATATTCCTATTTCTCAAGAAATGTACTTTAAAAGGCGAAAAAGCAATATTCTGTATTTTCTCCTGTTTTGGAACTGTGTGATGTGAACACAGGATACAGCTGTATCCCTAACTCTCCTTTTATCCAAGTAGCTGAAGTAGTTCCACATCACATAACAGCAGTGACACAGTTTCCTGAATAAAGTCTAATCTACAGTATTCCATTAGACTAGACCCAAGTACTTTTTCTCATATTACTCTTCTGTATATACTTTTCAGAAAATTATGGCAGCCTGACAGAAAATATATAAGCAATTGGCTTCAAAGAAATTTCCAAAGCTTTTGTCAGATCTACAATCCAAGTCAACTCACACACTGATGAACTGCTTTTGCACATACGGGGAGCAGGTGGAATTCCATCATATACATTTTAGGAATACCAGTATACTAAAACCAGGCCTATTTATCTCTTCTATATACCATTTAACATGGTCTACTCCATGTATTTTATGACAAAATTTCCAAGGAATGTCATTCTGATCAATGTCCTACAGTAGCAATTCACATAGCAGTGAGAATATGTACAATTTAATAATGCTTTGTCTTACATTTATGCTATGTCAGAAACATTCCCTTCTACCTGTCATACATTATGGCAGGTAACCCTCTCTAGAGTGAGGGTAGGCAACTCACAACCCTCCACCTATTATCAGACTGCAACTCCAAGGAATCCTAGGAAACAAAGATAATGGTGAGCAATCATGGGAACAGTAGTTCAGTAACAGATGGAGAGCCACACGTTGCCCACCCTGGTCTAGACTCTAGAGTGTCACAATCAGCACACCTCACTAAAACAGTCTAAGGAAGCAAGCAATTATTGCCCTTTCATTAGCACACTGGAGGGGAAAGGGCCACTGCATTAATTAAAGCATAAACAGTTCCTCACTAATATGGTGAACAGCAAAGTTGGGGATGAGGGGGTGTAATAAGCTCTCCTATACTGAGTATGTTATG